TGCTGGTCTTGATAAAATGGCCCTATGTTTGCCTCTTGGGTCGTACGCTCCGCCTCCACCCGACGTCTGTCACCCACTTTGACATTTCCAAACAGCGGACAAACCCCTCAAATATTAGGTCAAATGAAGCAAAATTGTAACGGATAACGAAACCATAAACCCCCGCCCTCTAAGTACACTAACCAACAAAACCGCGGAACCAGGATTTTTAGCGGTTCGAAGTCTGTGCGGGGTGGTAAGTTACTGAAAAGTTCTAAAACAAGTACGGGCACACAGACTGCCCCGGCAAATGTCGCCCTACACCGGATAGATTACCGAGTACAGGCAATAACAGTTGAGTATTCCCAAAACGTGTGGAACATCCATTAAGAAAACCTGCTGTCCATTCGTCAAAATCTCGTCGCCAAAAGTTTCACACTCCGCGGGGAGGAGGCCCCGGTCTCCTCGAAGTCCGCCTCGCCGCGTCGCAGTCTTTTCTTCTTCTTCTTCTTCTTATCTCTGTCACGCTTCAAGCTCAATAACTTGAAGTTCGATTGACAAACGCTCGTCGTTGCTAATATTAAAAAAACTTCAATGGTATTCACACTCTCCTCTCGTCGGATGACCGTTCTTTTGCACAACAGTGAAACGTGTGAAAACGACAGGACACCTGCCTGGCTCAAGTAGGGTGGAACCGGTTGTTCCGACAGTTTATTACGAGTAAGGAGAAGTGTAGTGGCGGATGGACCCAACATCACGTACACAAAAGGACGAAACTGAAAACTAAGTTTCGCTTCATGGTCCAGTTCCGACGGTCGGCTCTCCTACTTAAGTACGGCAATAAGGACAGATGTAACGTAGGTCGTATGTAGGCGTAGACGACGCGTAGGTTTCTGCGTCTGAGTAACAAGGGTGATTTCATCCCCACTCACATTACTTTTCCTCCCGTTTCAACTGCAATGTCTAACACACGCCATACGTTTACAATTTTTTTTTACAAATTTTGGATTTTCTGATTTTTTCCAAACTTTCAAGACAAATTTACAAATTTCATCCACTGCGATACGCCGTGTTCAAGTTAGGCCGACGTCAGTCACCCCGTGCTATCTAAAGGTTTGCTGTGTGTCCTGTCTGTTCTATCTCTTCTTTGTCAGTCCAATTAAAACTTTACCGCACGAGTTTTGGTGATTTGCTACCGTAATTTCTCGTTTGGAATATGAGGAAATGAACTGCGGTCTGGCTCTCCCAGCTTGCACACGGTTTGATTGGCTAGCGCTTGTACTGGCGGGATTTACATAAACGGGATTTGATTGGCTGATGCCAGCTTCGAAAGCATTGGGAGCATCAAAAGTTGAACATTGCTCAACTATTGATGCTCACGATGCTTGCAAAGCCATGCTCCGCTCCCAAAAATGCAGTTCGGCGAAGATTAAAAATCTTCTACGTCACCCCATTCAAGTGAATGGGTGAAGCTTTGAAAGATTTTTTTCATGCCTGTGTGTGGACGTAAGTGTTCTGCTCCATATTGATGGAAGATTGCTTTGCCCTCACACACAGAAAAACACCTACACCGCTGGGGGTTTGAATAAATCAGCCCCCACCAGAGACAGTTTGAGTGATCCTTTTTATGCCAGTTAAACCTGCATGTTGTAAATATATAACTTGTTTTTTTATTTGACCCTTCATTCATGATCAGTCAGTAGTGGAACTCGCTGTCAGCAGGTCAAAGAAGATTTAATCTGCACCACGCAGGATAAGGAAACCACATTGTCACAAGAGAAATTGATGTATATGTGATAAAAGGCTTGTTACTATTCCAATCCTTTGTCTCATATGCATGTAAATGAGGCAGGAGTGAACACATTTTCCAGCTGTCATATCAGCGGGATAAAGGGAACACCTGTTTCATTAGAACATTTGCAAAGAGGAAGAACCTTTGGGTTTTCAGATACATTTCAGGACTTTGTCTTTCCTTTCAGGTTCCTGTCTCTCACACGGCAAAATGTTTCTTGCCTAACTTGTAATTTTCTCAGAGCAACAGAAAGTTGTTTGACTCAAATGAATCCATGTAGAAGTCCTGCAGTCAGAGACAAAGGCAAGTATGACATTGGTATTCTGTGGAGACGGAGTGAGATATTATCTCTACGATCACAAGGCTTGAGCCTCTCAGAGGATTGGAAATGGATCACAGGACCAATTCCATTACATTTCTGACACATTTGTTGAGACTAGAGTTATCTGCAGTTACCCTAAAACTGCACGTCTATTTTTTAACACTATGTACACACATTTTCTGCAAAGAATGTGTGATAGAATCAACAGATAAAGAGATGGATTCAGACTTACAAAAGCTAAGTCTGAAAATATGTAACATGCCCGACAGAGTGAGGGAAACAAAAGGAAAACCAGTGAAAAGGCAGACTTAAATTACAGATTATTAATATAGGCCTGAGGAAAGCTTGAAACAAAGTAGTGCTTGTTTTTTTCCACAATGTGTTAGGGCACATGTTTGGGAAGTCTCTTCTCAAAAGGCAGACCTGGTATTGTACTGTTCATATAGACAAGTGATGGAAGTATAGTGCCTAGTTAACCTGTTAACCAACATCTTGCAGGAAACAGTGTCTGAGGGCATGTTCATTTAATAAACTATGAATGTTTTATATCCATGTAACGGGAAGAAAACTGATCATTTTATTTATTTTTTTCAAAAGAAAAACCACAATGCTAACGCTGAGCATCAATATCAAGATTGATGCAAAACAAGTGTCATTTTACCTTTTTAGAGAGGCTTAGCAAAAAAAACTCCACCTCTGAGGTGATTTGGGTGGAAATGGCCAGTTTTACCATTTCTCTGGAACCCATTGGTCGATTTTGTTGATTGACATCTCTTTTTGACCGTTAGAGCCAATAGAATCGAGGGGAAATTTTCACATAGACACATACGTTAACAAAAAAAGGTGGGGGCTTTGCGCATGCAGGTTTGCATGAGCGAACCTATCTTTCGCTCTGACATCTGGAAACAGAAAAGCAGGTTTATTGCTTATGGATTATCAGAAATCATTTCAAAGGGACACAGACACATTGGATTAACCTATGGATTAACTTCAGCAGCATTTTTATCGTTTTAATACCATTGAAGACCACTTTTGACCAGACTACAACACAGGTAAGCCATGTTAGCGTTTTTAGCTACCTAGCGCCACATGTTTTGATGTCTGTTCTTGTTATAAACTCTGAGAGTTAGTATAATTGAGTGATATTGAAGGGTACCCCTCGATTCTGTGTCACCTCACGTTGTGAAACAATGGGTTGGGACGTGCAGCTAACGATAAGTAACTAAGGGTGTTATGAGTGAAAGTTTCTGTGGCAGTAATGCCTTATCCATTTTTTCCGGGCCCGTTGGCTAATTCGATAGGCTCATCGCTAGCTTTTGTGGTTTAAAAAAAGAAACAAAAAAAAAAAAAGAAAAAGATCAGTTAGCTGAGCTTTCCCTTCCCGTTGAACATGAACTACTCACAAACATTCATAAGTTTATTGAATATTAAGATGCCCTCAGACCTGCTTTCCTGCAGATGACGCGTTTTCCCCCCGGTAAATCGGGGGCCCCGGTTGTAGAAGCAGGTTAAAAAAGACGAGCTTAAGGAATGTTCAAACAATTCTCTTTATTGTTCCCACTTGCACACACCCCTGTGGCTAAAGGGAGGGATTTGTCGAATCATCAGGTATTTTTTAAGTTTACAAAAGTTGGGTTTGTGATACCCATTGTAGAAATTGTTACGATTAAATTGTTTTTTGGATATAGATAAAGTATACCTTATCAATGTTCACCTGAGAAAATGCAAAGAGCTGTGATCTAACCTTGTCTCACGTTAATGGTTTGACCTCCCGCTTAGACCAAGTGGTTTTCAAACCGTGGGGGCGCGACCCTACATTGTAAAAAACAGCTTCCGATGGTGAAGTCAACAAAACTCAATTTTTTTATGTAATTTACCTTGCCCTAAATCTAGTTTTTTCAATACTGCACTTTAAATAAGTAACCCTTAAAGGCAACAATGAGAAGCATGTTTTAAGAAGTCATTCATTGCTTGAATTAATCATCACTTTCATGAACTTTCTTATAAACTACGATTTGGAAAACTCTCATAAAATGCTTTTGGTCAACGTCACGGTCCATGCACGCCTCAAACGAGAATACCAGCTGTGTGAGACGTCCTGTTCCTCTTTGGAGGCGATTCTTACAGGCAGTCTGGACCACGTGTTATGCGTTGGATCCTCGTTCAAACCATCCGTAAAACAAAGTAAGGCATGCACACCGGAGTTATTCATTACTCTGCTTTTTAACTAGGCCAGTGCTATTTACTTTTTTGGGCATTCACTGTTTAAACGGAACAATCGACATTTAATGCATGCCAGCGCAAATACCGCTGTAAAGTTAGACTCAGGCCCTGCCGGGGCTCATGTAGACTATTTCGCGCAAAATGGTGTGGGCAAAAGTTGCATCAAGTGCTTACGCTGACACAATTATGTTAAAGTGGTTAAGTTAAGAGTACGCTATTCAGAATCCAACTCCACAAACTAAATGCCCCGTGCGCTCTAAGCGTGGTCGGCCGCCTGTGTGCGGCCCGCCCGGGGCTCAGAGGCTCTCCTGGCTGCGTGCATGTTGTCATACGGTAAAATACCTCGCGGGCTATAACTATTCCCTACTAACTTTATAACCCAAGCGTTATTGTAAGAGTAGGCTACTAAAATCCCGCCCTATTCTGATATTAATTCTCTCTGTATGTACTTCAGCACGTTTGTATTTTAACTGCTGAGCAATGAATTATCCTTCTACAACTCTTAAGATGTGTACCCCAAAATTTAAAGCGATATTGTTCATACGCTTATGCAACAAAGCAACAAAATCAATCATCTGTTCTTATCCATTAATTGTAAGGAGCCCATGTGGCACTGTTAATATAAATCTGCTGAGGCAGTGAGCACGGTGGGGTTATAAAAATAAAGTAAGTTGGACATTTTATGACTATACTCAATATCAATCGACCATGTGGTTCATTTTCTTGGCAAACCATCGTCTTTTTTTATGGGCTAACCCGCTTGTTGCATGTAATAGCCACCTTCTGTTACCCGTCTAATGAAAGACGGTCCGTTTTCTGTTGAGGAAAAAACACATGGTGTGTCTTGATTTGACCTCAATGCTAGCTGTTTTGTTTGTACTATACCAGGGGAACAGCAAGAGGTCTAAGTGCACACAAGGGCTCGGTGATGCAGCAGCATGGAAATATATACGTTGCCCCCACGACCAGATGCAGTGGACACAAAGCATCAGTAATAACACCATAGTGCTCATGCACACTGTGTATCGTGTTGCCTGCTTTTCCAAACATGTTACATAAATCCTACCAAATTGATAAGCTTTTTTAAGCACAGCCGTCAGTTTCAAAGAAAAGTGGATGAGCGCTATGACAAGCCTTACAGGCAACTAAGCCCCAAATCAAGAAAGTATGAATCAAATCATACATCTCGCCTTGGCCTTCACATAACGGTGGTAGGTGGACGAAACGAAGCGCAGTGTGGTGTCCTCTGAGTTTCAGAACTTAGGCAGGCAAGAGAGCATTGAAACCAAACAAGCTGAACGCCACTTGGAGNGAGTCATTTTCAAGATTGAGTTACAATGATAAACTGGAGGGACAAAGGATCAGCTGCATGACCCTGCCATCAAGTGCTTCATCATGCTTTTAAGTGATTTGATCATCAAAGGTAGGCCTAAGTCATTTTCAATGTGGGCCGCCGTGCCGACTTCATTCATTTGTAATTGTTACTTGGCTGTGGGTGCCCTGTCATGATAGGTGTTTATATACATGGTGTTGTTTTGTGTGGTAGAGGGTCGCTGTCATTGATGCGTTTTGCACCCCGGGCCGCTGTTTTGATATTCCGCTGAAGTATACGCTGTGACGTAATAACTCTTTTTTTTCGAGGGAAGGGGGGGGTCAAAGGGTCTATGTAGAAAAGTCACGACTCGCCACTGGTTGATTCTTAATGCCAACTCATCCCACCACATGTCAAAAAAATTATATTTAAAACCAGTATTGAAATCTGCTGCATGACATACCTGTCCTTTTCGTCCTTGATGTGAGGGCTGTCTCTCCTCTCCACGTCCTTCGCTCGATCCCTCTCGTCCCGCTTGTCCGGCCCTTTAGCCCAGCTGGGGCCGGGTGCGAACCCAGGCGGGCCCCCGTGCAGACGGTTCCATGGGTCGTGATGGTTGGGGGGGGGCAAACCTCCGACCACGTTAGCTGGTGAATCTTTAGGGCCAAACACAGATCCTGCAGCGGACCAGTTAAACCCGTTAGGCAAATAAAAAGAGCAGAGAAGCAACGTACACCATTTTCTACGATCAATCTTTCAAATTAAAATATTTACAGACTGCAATTGCAAACTTCTGGAAATGAAATGTGCATGCTTACAACAGGCTCTGTCCTTTCAAGTAAAAAAAAAAAAAGCATGGAGAAAATGTGTTGATTGATTGGAATTTATTTCAGTCTGCGATTAATAAAGGAGTCGGAAGTAAAAAAGCTTTCAGCCAATTTCAAATTGCAAGCTTTCCATCTTCACTCATAATGTAAAACGTTCACATCTACATGCATGTTGTGTTTGTGGCCGTGGCACGACGTAAAATCCTAATGTGGCACAAATGTGTAAATTGAACGGCCAAAAAATAGAAGCAAATAAATACGATGTACAGTATGTTAATTCTTATTTGATTAACTCCTGATATCCAGAAGTACATTTATACTTCATATAATAGGATGAGCAGCTTGTATGTACATTTTAAGAACATTTTTAGGCAGTGCATTTAAGAGACATTTTCCAAGAAAAATATGCAACAATGAAGCCAGCAAAGGTTTTTAAATATTTTCTATTTTTTTACCAACCGTGGGTTTGCTTGTATACATTTAAAAAGAAACCGTTTGGTTGCATTTGAAATACATGCTTGATAATGTTTTTCTTAATTAATAAATTATTTTATTGTTGATGTTTCAGCAATTTTCCCATTCTCCAAAACATTTTCCTTATATGTTAACCATAACCATATTAATATATGATCTTTATTCCCAAAATGATATTTTAATTCAAGGAATTCTACTACAAAGATTGCCAATTTTTGTAGAATCCTTTATGGAGGCCACTGCAAAACTTAAACAAATAAGTGAATGAACTATCATAAAGGGAAACTACCGTAATTTTCGGACTATAAGGCGCACCTGAATATAAGCCGCAGCAGCTAAATTGAATGATGTGTACATATATAAGCCGCACTGGACTTTAAGCCGCAGGTGTTTTAATGTTTAATTACCATATGTAAGGGTTCGTGCACAGAGGGGATTGTCGGGAAAGAGATGGCTGTTTGAGGAAGCTCCCATTTATTAACATTTCAACAAACAAGTTGCATATTTGCATAACGTATTCAAGTGTTACCATTTAGTGCAATAGTAGCTACAGAACATGTACTGTGCTGTGTAAACTGTACTGTATCACATAGCGTTTCAGACACACAAACTTTTCAACTTTCAAACTTAAACGGTGCGCTCCCAGCGCACGTTTAACACCTTTACACAAACTGTCTCGCTCTCGTAATGTCTGTCTGTCTTGCTCTCGTTCTGTCTCTCGTACCACTCTGCCGGTTCCACTTTCTAGCTCTTTGCGGGCTACCTGTGCTCACTCTTTTCGCGCCTCCAGCTTTTCCTGCTGGAGCCCGCCGCTTAAAGGTGGGGGGG